TGGAGCCTACACATAGACTTTGTTTTGAACTACGCCGTGTTTAACACCACCACAGGAACAGGAAATGTGGATCTCAGGGCAGTTTGTGAAACAGTCACATGATCATTTGTCTGCCCCCTCTCACAACGATTCATGCACATGTAAACAAAGTTGTTATTTTTTACTTTTAAAGGTTGAAAAGGTCCACATTTGAGGTTAGGAGGGAGGTTGGAGGGTTTGAAATCATTTTGTTGTCCAACTCTTTTTACACTTGATTTGTATTATTTTCATTGGGATGCTCATTTTCATAAGTAAGAACTTGGTTAGGTTTCAAAGTTAAACGCAGCTGGGTTGGGTATAGAAAAAGATGGGTTAAACTGGAAAAGTTAATAATTTGATTATTTTGTTGAAATATAATTCCAGTGCAAATTCATTAGTGATGAACACAAACAAATTACAATTTGATGAGTAGATAATATTTATCTTTGAGGGGCTGATATAAAATGAGGAAAAGCAGGAATTTTGCTCCAGGTTAAATTTGAGCTCACGTTAAATATTGTGGGAAAAACAAACAAAACAAACAAAAGAAAACATTTTTTTCCCCCAGAAGTAGAGATGTGGAGCTCGCGAGAGACAGAACGGTGATCTCAGAGTGAGAGCTGTTTTTACCTCTCTGCACACAGCAGCAATCTGGGCTTCATCCATGCACGTTTCTGTTACGACATCAGTCAGCGAGCCTCCGGCCAGGTACTCCATCACCACCCAGAGCTCATCACCCACCAGGTAACTATTGAAATTAAGACATTTTATTGGAAACTGAGCTTCAGAACTTGTGACGTCTTTTTCTGCAACCATGAAAAAAGTTAAACACAAGAACCATTTTTTGTTTTTTTGCTATTCTGCTAAGAAAAAGATGCAAATGTCAGAAAATCTGTAAACTGCTTTGCCTTGAGTAATTTGGAACTTTTCACTCTTGAAGTTTTGTTGGCATAGATGCAAATTAATCATTTTAATAACCGCTTTTCTTGATTGTTTTCTTTTCAATTGATTAATCTATAAAACGTTGAGGTCGAGTCCTCAGCTTTCATTTTTAATAGCACAAAGTCAAAGACATTTAGATCTGGGAAGGCGGTAACCACAAACACAGCAGAGTTTATTTGATACATTAAACTGAAAGTTTTAGGAATAATTATTAATATTTAATTCATTTGGTAACACAATAACTTTAAAACAAGTTTTAGCATCAGATTTACCAAATTACGGCAAACAATGTATCGATGAGAGTGAAAAGTTCTCTGCGTGGTTCAGTAACAATGCTCTAACTGTTGTATCAATGACAGCAGGCCAAAAACAAGCAGGACTGATAAGCAGCACCAAACAGTGTCAGCAGGTTTAAACTGTGTTTGTTTTTGAGGAAACGCGTCACACATCTGATCACTGAGACGCAGCTAAAGGTAAATCAGTTGATTTATGTTGCTCTGTGTGTGCACTGCTGAGAAACGACTCACAAATACTTTTGTGCTCTCTGCAGTTTCCATATGGTCTGTGTGGAAGCGTGACTAAAATCCTCAAACAGCGCAAACCGCTCGGCTCACTGTAAAATGTAACTGTCCTGCCTTTAATACCCAACCTGGGACTCTCCTCCTCCCTCTACGATAGCTGTCTCAAGTTAAGAGAAATGAATCCAAACAATGGAGCAATCAGTGGGTTTATGGATGTTTTTTTAAGTCAGCACGGATCCTCCCACACACACACACACACACACACACACAGAGTAAATCAGTGTCAGAGAGAATGTTGTTTCCATGGGGATGGCAGCATTATCACCAGTCTCGCACATTTTTTTTTACTGTCTCTTGAGGCAGACAGGTAACTACGGTAACCAGACACCACGCTCACAGACACATGTCCAGTGGGTTACCATGGCAACAGCAGCCCCGAACCGGGTAACCTCTCAAGTCGTTTCAGTCTGAACATTTGTCAGCTGAGCTAGAGTTTCCGTGGTGACGCCTGCTGTGTATCATTTGTCCAGAAACATCTGGAGCCTCTGATTTGTTCTCCGCGTTTAAAGGGAACGTTTAGCAAACTCGCATGTTAATATTTGTTTGCACACAGTATGTAGGTAAGGAATCAACATGTGAGGAACAATCAGGTTTTTGGGTGGCACTCAACGGTGAACCTGCCCTGCCCACAACAGAGTAAATCATTGAAAGTGGCTCTGAAACGACTTCTTTTATCAAGAGAAGAAAAAATGATTAAAAAGCAACTTTTTAATCCAGGAGAAGAACAGCAGTAAAAATGAAAGAGAGACAAAAACTCAAAGTGTTAGTGATGAATCTGTGTAGTTCATGCGAGGATGAGGGGGGTTTACGTCACCCCTGTTGAAATCTACACAGAGAGATAATGTGCTGCAGTGATTCATGCAGCAGTTACCCAGCAGACATTGACAACAGAGGTCCAGTCACACCGGCTCTTTTTACAAAACAAGAAAAGCTAAACACATCATTTCCTTTAAAAAAAAAACAGATATTAAAGCATGCATGTTTTTGTTTTTAGTAAAAAAGCACTTGATTGGTCGCTGGACTCCATTAAGAGAAGACAGGAAATAAAAACCCAACAAAATAATCACCAGCTCAGCTGCAGCTTCTAGAAAGTCTTATCTGTCAGCTTTAATCTTTCTGAACAGGAAACAGGAAGTGCCTGAAACACTCCATGCTTACCAGCCTGTGAGGCTACGCTGAGGACAACACCCACCCAACAACATTTAAACATGTTAAATATGTAGTGACATGCAAACATCTCATCCTTTAGCTGCTCTGTCCCTGAGGAAACACCTCCTGGAGGTGTCCAGGAAGTTCCCTTGACAGGTGCATTTTATTGTGGAGTAGTTGCACGTCTATTATAATAGTTTTGTGTTTTCTTTTTTCTATTTTCATTTTTTTCAATTACTTAAGTGCAATGATGAGGTTAACACTGACACCACAAACTGTTGCAAAGCTCTAAATCAGGTGTTGTGAAAATGTGAAACAATGTAAAAGATTAAAACTGGGATTTTAAACCGTGACGTTTTCCCTCAGCGTGGTGACGCGTGATGGCGTGCCTCACCTGTCCAGGTAGTTGACTATGTTTGGGTTCTTGTTTTCCCTCATCACCAGAATCTCGTTGATGATCAGCTCCTTCTTCGGCTGCTGCTGCAGGTTCATCTGTTTAATGGCAACCTTTAGGGAGAAAAATAATAGAGAGAGGGAAGAATTATTATAAGGAGAAGTCTGTGTATGAGGTACAATGCAAGAGGATGACAGACAGACAGAGAAAAGGCCGCGAGGGCAGGGAAGTCTTTAAATCTGAAGGTAGTGAAAGGCTCGTGGCAGACATTTAAATGCGAGCACACAGACTGATCCTCAGAGAGCGAAGCTGAGGAGGATTATTCCGACAGACGAGCGAGCTGAGGGTTAAAATCAACCTGGAAGTCTCGGTAAATGAAGCCAGACTAAATCCAGTAACGGGTGTTTATATCATCCCAGTGCAAACTCCATATGATCACTTCTCTCTTCCTCTTCTTCACTTCATCTCATCTGATTAAAGTCTGCACCAATCGACACGTTCTTCAAACTTCCTGCTGAGTTTTTAACGTCACGCTGTTAGTTTAGTTTAGTCTGAGACTCCGTCTGGGGAATGAATCAAGGTTTTCCTTTAAACTGGCCTTTCAGACTTCAGGGCGTTTAAGCCTCAGCAAAAGGACGACTTGTATTCTGGGACAACAGGACATCACACAGACTTGAGAGCTGGCAGGTTAGAGACCAGCTGGTCTTTGAGGAGTCCAGTCCTCAGATACAAGCACCAGTGCTGTCAGATCTACTGTGGAAGGCTGTTTTTTAAGAGAGAGAGCAGCAGTTTTACTGCTTGTTCACCACAAAGAAGCCAAAGTGTGTCGATCAGGGAGGTCAAACTCCTTCTACACTGTGAGCCACGTACAGCTCGCTTTGATCTTAGCGGGCCGGACCAGAGGAAGTCGTCTTTCGGTCAGTGTACAGAAGTTTAACTACACATTTAATCCCTGAGATATTCTCAAATAAAAAAAATCTGTGTAATCACAACACTGCATCTCAGTTTTTCTACATGATGAACAAATGCTGCTTCGGGCTGGAAGCAACAATTGTGTACAATTAGAAAAATACATTTATTAGCTCACTGTGGAGATTTGTTATTATTGATTTTTTTTTAATTACTTATTTACTTTGGTGTTGTATGGAGGTCATAAAAATAGAAAAAGTATAAAGTTACAGGTTAAAGTTAAAATTTATGTCCACTTTACATTTTCCGTTCAGTGGGCCAGATTGGAGTCTTTGGCGGGCTGTCTGCCCCCCGGGCCTTATGTTTGACACCCCTGGTGTAGATTAACATCACACAGTGGTTTAGTTTTCCTTCTGTTTGCTTCAGGTGGCGCTGATTTACACATTAAACATCTGCATGTATGTCTGTGCATCCTGTAAGTCCCTATATCGTTATGTCTGAGCGAGAAAAGACTCCATACAAAATGTTGGTAAAGCCACGAATAGTTTGAGGTGAAATCTTTTATCTCGATTCTTGTCCAAACGTGGACGTTTCGGTGGGACGTCGGAGTCGTGTTTCCCACCTTTACTGTGCACATCAAATGTCTCAGCAGCTACTTGCTGGATTTTAATAATGGTCAGCATTTCCTTTGTATCTGAAAGAACGGAGAAATGTGAAGAGGAGAAGAAAATCATGCTGAGAACAAATAAGTACCTCCTGTCCTGTGGCGACGTCGATAGCTGTGTACACCGTCCCAGACGCCCTGAAACAGACAGCAGAGATCCTCAGTTAAACATCACACAGCAGGACTTTGTGAGCTCATAAAGATCATAAATCCTTCTTTTTTATCTTCTTCATGACGGCAGGAAAGTTTTTGTCTTTGTTAAAACAGCAGCTTTCAAACATTACAGCTGAGCCTCTGCTGCCTTTTATGACCTTTAAATTTAGTCTTTAAATCACAAACGTCCATCGGTTAATATTACTTTACATTTACACCTTCTGAATCTGCTTTAGTGACATTTTAAAATAATGAAGACAGATGTTTCACCAAAGGAAGCTGAAGTGCAGCAGGAGAAACAACGATGGAAAAATAGCAAATGATCGTTTTACGTTTTAAAGCGAAACATTTGGTTGTTTTGCTTTTTGTTTTGGAGCCGGCCTCGTTTCCACATCATCAGTGATTCACTGTGATGAAGTTTGGTGACTTAAAGCACAGAAGCAGCGAGCTAACCAAGCTAGCTGCTATCACACTCAAATGTGAGCTGTGTCCCAATTCCTAGGCCGCATCCTTCGGAGGACCTCAGTCTACGTGGGCCGGGTCCTTCAAAGACCGAGCAGGCCGGAAGTGCGAGGCTGTGAAATTGGACGGTCCAACCTTCAGATTTGCGTCACCAGCTCTCGTGGAGTTTAATTAACTCGGCCGTCTGCTCCTTGCTATCTAAAATATATCAGGACACGAGTAAATTCTATCATCATTAAATCATTTCTGTTTATTCAGTTTTCTGTGTGACGTTTATTCAGCTGTGTGAAAACTAGAACTTCAATCTCAGCCAAACTGATTTACTCAGTTTTAAGTTATCTAAGTGACTTAAATATCATGTTTCACCTGAGTATCGAAGGACCGCGGGGGTCTGAAAACGATGAAGCCGGGATCCGGTGTTCTCGCCGGCTCTAGTGAGCCTTGAACGCCGGTCAGCTATCGAGCTGATGGGTAACAGACGTCTCCGAAAACGTCGGAGCACTTTTGCAATTATATGATATTTGAAGTTTACACAGCTACATTCTCGCCTGAAAATATCTTAAGAGTTTATTTTGTGACCCAGAAACAGTCATATTAAAACTAAATAGCTGCCGCCATTGTTGGGAACTGGAATTGGCTGGGCTGTGCTATGAATTCTGGGTTGGTTGGACCACGAAGGATACGCCCGACCTGTCCTTCAAATCTGGGGAAATGAAGGACGCATTTGTCGGTGTCTTCAAATTGGAACAGCCTTCATCGCTTGGCTGTAACGTAATCGGCCTTCAAATGCGGCCTCCGAAGGATGCGGCCTGGGAATTGGGACACAGCAATGGTCACCTCCTGCTCCAGAAATCCAACATGGCGGCCGACAAAGCGTCAATATTAAGACCAATGGAGTCCACAGGGGAACATCCATCATTTAGGTACAGTTTGCAGTCATTCAACACCATCACGTACAGATTGTACTGTATGAATATTTATTGTGTACATGCTAAGATTCATGTTTCGAACACAGATGGCAGATTTTGGACTCACCCCTGTCCGATCTTCTCAAATCGTGTATATTTCTTCTTGGGGTCGCCCACACTGACGATCGTCCCTGAGTTAGAGGAAGAAGAAGAGAAAAAACTTTTATCACAGCAGCTTTAAGGATCTGCAGGAAAAAAAAGATAATAAATAAAAATAAAAATCAGGCCCTCACTGAGAGCTGAAATATTTTTATATGCTGATTTACAGAATCGCTGAATTTGGATGGATAGAAGAGTCGCGTGTCTTTCTATCCATCCTAGTTCTACTCTACGTTCATCACACTGAGGTCGATGCAGCATGCTGACTGGGAGGATGAGCAGAGAGAAGAGAGGTGGAGGGCAGTAACGAGCGATGGGCGGGTCAGAGATAAAACAGGACGTGAAAAAGGTCAGAGCTGTAAAGTCAGGATGGAAGAGACAGAAACAAACAGAAGCTCTGCCTGCAGTTCAGAATTACAGGACAAAACTTTAAGTCACTCTTTTAGGAAACGATGAAAAGATAGGACAGCCAATCAGACGTGAGGATTGGACAACTGGGGGCGGGACAGAGGATATCAGGTCTGTTGATCAGAAGAGGCAGACAGACAAGCAGTATCCTGGTCTTACCAGCAGAGGGAGACCTGAGCACATCTGGACAGGCGCGTGGCATGGTTCAAGAAATATATACAGGCTCTTACTCAAACATTCAAACATTCAAACATTTCACTGCAGCGAAGAAAGCTTTAAAACTGTGCTCACTTTAAATAATAATTATTACATAATTACTTTAAAGTACTACACTTCTGAGCAGAGATGAGATGCTTTAATGTGCTGGTTTATTTAGGTAGAGCTTTTTATTTTCTCCATTAATTCTCCTTTTGCCCCGGTGCACTGAATCATTTTAGTCTTTCAGATTTTAATCTGACAGATGCAGCCTACGATCAGGGTCACAGGTCAAAAAGAATCAGTGCCTCCAACCTGACTCAGAATCACCTGATTTCTTTCAGATTAATGCTATTATTATGTTCAGAGTTACAGGCATTACAGGGGGGGCGATGAAATGTGTTTTAATGAATATTTATTTAGCATATTTGAGTCCTCATAGCTTCAGGAGATAAAAACCAGTGAGTGACTATTTCCAACCTTCCTTTTTAATAGAAAAACCTCACAGACCCTTGAGTTAAACATGTGGGACGTGCCCCCTCCCAAGTAGCCTAAAAACCTTTAAATCAAGTAAAAATAGAATAAAATCTCCTGTGTTTGACTCTTACTCTCATCTGGCTCATGTCAGCTGCCAGAGTCAGCGGAGAATATCTGCGAGTCTGCAGGAAAGTTCAAATATCCGTTCATATCTGTGGATCACTTCCTAGAAAAACCAAACCGGGATCTTTTATTGTTAGTATCCGCACAGCTCTGTGGGGTCACGCAGGGGGCGGTGGAACCAGAATATGAAGACTTGCCATAATAAAGTTTTTCACAGGAACAGCGAGCGAGTGCAGGCGGATATTTTAGTTAGCAAGAAGTGATAATGTTATATAAGTTCTTTCACTTTACTTCACAGACTGCAGACCTTCAAGCAAAAAGCAAAATCTTTCATGGCGATGGAAAGTCTGAGCAAATGAAGCAGAAAACAAGCTGCCCACAGACACACGTGGAAAAAAGGTGGTTTTTATGCTGCTACGCTGACGTCTTACTCATAAATGATGTTAAACATGAAAATAAGAATCGGTTTGCTGAAATCAGCAGAGAGACGAGCCCAAAATAAACTCAAAGCCTGCTCTCTGAGCGAAGCTGTGCGTGCAGATAAAGCGATGAAATGTCCTGTCACGACTAAGAGAAGCTAAAATTAGCTCACGGAGACTCTGCGCTCCGCAGCAGGTACATCAGAATATGGATGGATTATCAGGACCACAGGCCTCGGACTCAAACCTGCACACTGAGCCTGCACTTCCTAACTGCAGAGTTCACGCTGAGATTCACACCGCTCCTCTGTTAGCTTCCACATCTGACACATACAGTAAACTATGCACAACTTAGAGTCAAACAAACATTTATGTCTTAATAAAACTGCCGTCTGATCGACAGCACCGACTTTCATTGATCCAGTTGTTAAAGTCCACCTCAGGCTGTTCAGGCGAGCTCACTCTGAACATGTTTAAAAAGGACCCCTCCCCTCGGCTGGAAGCATCAGACACTCTGAGCCGTATTTGTTAGGAAAATGGTGAATGTGAATCCGTAATCAGGAACCTTTTTCCTCCACAGCAGATGTCAGAGGGTGCAGTGACCTTCCCTCGCACTGCTGCTCTGTCACCATCACTCATCGCCCTGTCACCTCTGGCTAGCAGCATTAGCATCCAGGACTGTGGCAGCTTTTCTCTCTTTATGCTTCCTCCCTGTCGACCTGCAGCCTACGTCATTATGGTTTCATTCAATCAGCTTATTTCTAAACCATTCTAACCATTCAAAAAATGTTTCTATTTTTCAAAATGTCTTTTGAAAAATAGAAACGTTTTTTAATGTCCACATTAAAGAACCCTAAAAGGCTCTCTGCCTGACTCCAGCTCTCTGGGGATCTGCCCCTTTGTCCGAGTGGTAATCTGTCTCTGTCAGAGGTCAGCAACCTGCACACACATTAAACACATTTGAGGCTTTTAATGAAGGTGACAAAGCCGGTTAATGGAATCTGAGCCGGTCAAAGTTACGATCCAGATATTTTACCACGTGTGATTATTCTGCAGAGCCTTAATGCCTTTAAGCATGATCAGACAAAGCTCTGCAGCCACTCTGAGTCCGAGCTTCTGTTCTTCATTTATCTGTACGACGGCGGGATGAAGAAAATGACCTTTTTTATATGAATTTCTACAAATTGCTGGACCTCAGTTTGTGCTGGAGATAAATGTCTGAGCAAACTTTTTAGGGAACGACAGTTATGTCTAACTCACAGCACGAAGGGACAACAAACTGAGTCCAGAAACAACAATCCAGCGGTGCCGGCACAACTTGAAAGCGCTACAGAAACAGCATGCCGCTCTTTTACACAAAATCTTTGACGCCACCTCAAAGCTAGGCGGGTGACGCTGACACGGAGCTTACGCCGAGTCCAAACAACAGGACGCAGCTGAAGAGGCTCGCAGGCTCACTCGCTGTCACCACGTTTATCTGTGGGCTGTGTTTTTAAAGCTTTTCTGTTCTCAAACTCATCAAATCTAAAGAGTTTTCAACTAAACTGAAATGAAATCTCACTCTGGAAACTAACTGAAACCAGACTGAACAGAAAATTCAAATCTAAAAATAATCAATAAAAATAACTTAGCAGGTGTGAGCCATGAGTTACAGCTGTTGCCCAAATCTCAGCACAGCTCCGTCAGTCAGGGCTGAATCTCCACCTCAACACACTAACCGTTACCGGGGTCAGATTTGTCGTGTTAGCGTGCTCCGAGTGTCTGAATGAGCCTTACGTAGCTTCTCCAGGATCTCCTCATCAGACATCTTCTTCTTCCTGGCTTTGTCCTGTGGGTGGGGCAAGGAAGGACCAGGGGCGGGGCTAGCACTGGGAGGGCTGCTGGGAGCTGCTTCTGCAGGTTGGGCGGGGGTGACGGCGGCGGCCGCGGCGGTCGGTGGAGAGATGGGTGAGGTCGCAGCATCTTTCGTGGGAGGAGGAGGGAGGGGCTCGATCACCGAGCGAGTGTAAATCTGAAAGATGAAAAAAGTCACTCCTGTTTTTATCTGCGGTGCCAAATAGACGTTTAAAGACGAAGCTGAAAGACATTAAAACAGCTTTTGTTATCTGTTCATCTGTTTTTGTCCACAGACCTCTGGAACAGAGACGTCAGTGAGACACAGTTTAAATAAAGGCTGATTGTCTGTAAGCCATAAAAACACTGGAGAGTGAATCTAAAGTAAAAGTAATGAGTTTAACTGAGACAAACACACAACACAACAGTGTGTGTGTGTGTGTGTGTGTGTGTGTGTGTGTGTGAGAGAGAGAGAGAGAGAGAGAGAGAGGGGATGGTGAGAGTCAGGTGCATGAGACTCATCACCGAGGAAACTGCAGTGGCGCCGTGGAAACAGCCTCTCAACCGCAAACTGTCTGAGTGAGAAGCAACAATGTGTGTGTGTGTGTAGGATGAGATGAAACAATGTTGCCCGACAACAACAGTGACAGTAAAAAGTTGTCATTGTCTTTGATGCCTGTTAAACATTCATTTTAATAAGCTTTCATTCCCACCATCTTTGTTTTTTAACACAAACTCTCATCAGAAAAAAATCTGTTTAAACAATAATTCTGAATAATAAAACTACAGAGCAGGAGACGTGAAGTATTATGTGTCCAGTGAAGGCAAACATGAGTGGGCTTACCTGGACTGACAGGTGAGGACACTGGGTGGGTGTGTGGGTGGGTTTTCACATCTTTGTGGGGACCAAAAATTGGAAGTTTACTATAGTTGTGTGGACCAACGAAATCCAGGTCCCCATAAGTTTGAAGGCTCAAAATGTGGTTTTAGTGTCAGGGTTACAATTGGGTTATGGTTAGGTTTAGGGTTAGGCATTCGTTTTTGATGGTTAGGGTTGCGGTAAGCAGCTACAGAAAACATTATGTTAATGAGATGTCCCCATAAGATATGAATACCTGACGTGTGTGTGTTAAGCTCGTATGTGCAGAGGCAGAAAGGCGACAGCGTTTGTGTTCTTACTGATTTGGTGTGCTCCGGTCGGGGGGCGATCACCGGCGGGGGCTCGGCCTCGTCTTCGTCCTCATCCTCAGATACGGTTGCTATGGCGGGTGTCTCGGACACGGCCTTGGAGCTCTGCTTGATGTCACAGGGAGAGAGAGGGCGGAGCCTCAGTGACATCATGGTCACATGCGCCACGAACGATACCAGACCCATCATCGCTTCCTGAATTTCCTGCCACTTCCTCTACAGCTTCAGTGTCTCATCATACAGAGGAGTCCTCCGGCCCGTCTTTAGCTCTCCTTCTTCTTCTCTGATTTCAGCCTCCCGCTCTGTCTTTCCACCCTGTTTTCCCTCCTCTCATCATCACTGCTGTCTGAAAGCTCGGGTCACATCTGGCTTCTGACGCCACTACATGCCACACATCCTACCTTTCTATCCCTCTCTTCCTCTCTGTCTCTCGCTGATAGTCTGACGCTCGGCTGGTGGCCAAGCTGCAGAGACAGGGAAACGGTGAAAGGAGGAAAAGATGCTGATTCACAATGCAGAGAGAGGGAGAGAGAGAGAGCGGGAGGAAGAGGAGTGCCATCATCCTCCTCCCTCCGTCTCTTATTCTCACCTTTACATTTGGGTTTAAATGTGTCTTTCAGAAAACACACACACACACTGCGACAAAAACAAAACATCCTCATTCATTCAACAAGAATCTCTCAGCTTGAAGCTTGAATCTGTCGTCCAGCAATGACGCTGGCTCTGTATTTGAAACCAGGAAGGACACCTGTGCCATAAGATGCTCAGAAAAAAGCATTTATTCGTTTATACTATTATCTAACAAGAAAAGAAAGTAAAGTAGACGAGCTCAGTAAAATATATTTCAATCAAAAACTGCTCAAAAGAAAAGCACTTAGTTAAATAAGATGAAATCAATAACTTTCTAAACAAAAATCTAAATAAAATATGTAAAAACCTGAATATATAGAAGAAAAATACATTTGCCTACTTCCTGTAGGGGGCGCCACAGCGGCTCATCTGCCTGTTCCTGCATCCTCCTCTATCACACCAACCTCCTTCACTACATCCACAAACCTCTTCCTCGTTTCCTCCTGCCTGGAAGCTCCATCCTCATCATCCTTTGTCCAGTTTATCCCAGTTTAACCCTCTAACACCCAAACCAGCTCAGCCTCGCCTCTCTAACTTTGTCCTAAGTTTAATCATGAACATCCCAGTTAACATCTTCAACTCTCCCACAGCCGGCTCAAACACAGCTAAATAAAATATGAATAAAATCCAACATGAAACTGTGTAAAGTGTAAAAATGAGTGAAGTAGAAACATTTATTGAATTCATTTTAAACAGCAGGGTGTAAAATGACCTGACCTGTTACCTGCTATTGGCTTAGGTAACGGCTAAATTGGTGGAAAACATGCAGACACAGCTAATAATGAGAGGAAGCCTTCCTCACAGTGCTGCCTGTATGTGGCTGTGTGAGAAAATAAAGCTGTGACTGAAGAGGTCTCACCGTTGTGGTGGAGGAGCTGAAGGCGTCAGCAGTTTTATCTGAAGGAAACACAACACAAACACAAAGTTGAGTGTTCAGAGCAGATTGAGCTTTCAGGCTCTGAGGCTCATTGTTTGAACTTTGTTTAATGTGAACTGAACGTTATTGTGAATGCACGTAGGTGATGGGAGCACAGCGGGGGGGCGGGTCTTACCAGTGAAGCTCATGTACTTCTGGCTGTTGGTCGTTTCTTTCGAGTCGTAGAACTTTAAAACGTCGAGGACGGCCTGAGGGTTCTTCTTCTGCTCCAGCTTGGTGATGTTGGATGTCTGCAGAAGCCGAGCCCACTGCTCCGGCATCCCCTGCACACACACAGATAAAAAATATCAATATTTTATTCATTTATTTCTATGTGAACTGTATTATTGTAGTTTACCTTTGTTAATGGCAACATTAACAACACAAATAACACAGCAAAGAGCAAACTCTGTGTATGAAAAATGACGCTAACGGTGAAATACTGAAACCCTTGTTATTCTCGGAGTTGTAGCATTAAACTGGATTTGCTGCTCACAGAACATCTGCTCCCATTGTAAGTTTGTATCTCTGTGAAACAACAACTAATGTGAAAAACACAGCCCACTGCACGAGAGTGTTCCCTAAACAGGCTGAAACAGCAATTTTAAAGCGGCGTTGTGGATGTGAATGCAGCTTAAACTAAACTTAGCATTAGCTGATAACGTATCGCAGCCAGTATACCAAAGCCGAGGCTTCAAAATGTGAAGTCTAGAAACCATCGAGTGACGTCCTGCTTTTACATACAGTCCATGACTACAGTAAGGAACACACACACACACACACACACTTCTTCGAGTCCTAGCAAGGAAGTCTTATCATATTTGTACTTCAGCCACAGATCTGGGTCACATCTCCGTGTTTTCTGTCTCTCTCTCTACTCATCTGTCAGAATCAATCCATTGCACACACTCTTCCCCTTCCTGTTCCATCATGTCTCATATCCATCCATCCATCCATTCGTGTATTTACTGTCTGAATTATATTTAGATTACATCAATTTGAGCAGGAATGTTCATCTGCATGTAGATGTGTGTAAACCTGGAAACCACACACACACACACACACACACACACA